ATGCTTAAGCGATAAAAGATTACTTATGTTACTTAAGCTTTTATGCAAAATGTTGTCAAGCGAGCTTCACTTATATATCATCATTGCATACTCCTTGGCGTCTTTTTATTTCTGGTTTACGACGGGTAAGTCTAGCCGAGTACATTTTCGTACTCAGGGTTTATTTACCTCTTGTTGCAGATGTCATCTTTTATAATGGTTGCTGCAAGTACTGTCTTCTCCCTGCTGAGGATGAGGATTAGACCAGTGGGTATGGTCTCTGCTAGTTTCTCTTATGAAATGCTTTTGTGGGATATGACTATGGACTGGCCACGTATTTGAACTACTAGTGTTGTAATTTTGAAACTTTGTCGCTTCCGCTATTTCAAACTTGGGTTGTAATAACTTAATTGAACTCCGATGTATGCGAGCTTCTGTAAGCTACTTGTGAAATGTTGTAACAGGTGATGTGTTGTGTTGAATCACTACGATCTTGGCTTGTATGTTGGTTGGTTTGAAATCCCTCGTGATTTCGTTAGACTACCGGAGTTATATGGGTTCAAGTATGACAAATTGATCACTTCGGTGATCGTTTTTGTACTTGTGCTCTTATAATTTGGGCGGTTCCGTGATGGCTATGATCCCGATCTCGGGAGTGGTAGCAACACCATCACCGATACATCTATCTCAATCACTCAACTCATTGAGAATAGAGCACTCCATCTTCAAGTCCCGAAGACCGGACTAGAGCAAGCTCGAATAGGATGAAAGTGTTTGCACCGATCGGCAATTCGGTGTGGGAGATTCTGTGTTGTTGCGCGCCTTTAGCCATACACCCAATCTCAAGGGCCAATGACCCTTTCCCAAACTATCTGTTGAATGTAATTGGGCTCGTGGGCGTCTTCACCGTGACTCCCCACCTAGCCTATATATGTACAATCGACTATGCTCGAGTAATACATCGAGTATTCCACTCTTTCATGGTATCATGCGAAGAGTGTGCATGCAGTACCGTAGCGCAGAAGATCGTGCAATTGCACCTAGCCCACCGCCGGGTGGTGCATCGGCGCCTCATGCAAAGGTGCCATTTGCAAGCCCCCAAAGAAGAAGGGCCTTGCTGCCTCAAGGCCTCCAAGCAGCAAGCGATGTTGTCTCTGCACCCCAAAGAAGAAGCGTTTGCCCTCGACGCGCTCCCAAAGAAGAAGATCTGCTGCTGCCGCCCAAGACACACCGTCTTTGCGGTTGCCACCGGGCGCCGCCAGCCGGGCCTCTTCTAGGCCAACGGGTGCTGCTGCCTCATGGATTCCACATCCGAGTTGTTGCTGTGGCGCCGGTCGCCTCACCGGTCGCACTATAGCCACGGGCGCCCCAGCGATCACTCCTCATCACTAATGCGCACAGCATGCGCACTCGTGGCAAGGATGGTACTCATCATCCCGTCGACCGCCTCGAACCTTCACACACGGCGACCCTCTCTCCGGTGCCCACCTGCTCGCGGCGGCTCTAGCGGACCTCGAGTGGCGCCTTGCTATATGCAAAGCGGAGTTCGATGCCCCGCAAGCAAATGACACATGGTCATCGGTGCCTCGACCACGCCTTGGCGTCAACCTTGTCACAGCAAATGGGTATTTCACCACAAATTCAAGTCCGATGGCTCTCTCGACCGCTACAAGGCTCGGTGGGTCTTGCGCGGCTTCACACAGCGTCCGGGAATTGACTATGATGAAACTTTCAGTCCAGTGGTCAAGCCAGCAACCATTCGCGCAGTACTGACTTTGGCGCTCTCTCGCTCATGGCCCATCCATCAGCTCGATGTGAAGAATGCCTTTCTCCATGGCACTTTGTCCGAGAGCAGGTCTATTGTGCTCACCAATTGGTTTTGTCGACTCCTCCGCACTCAGATTATGTGTGTCGCCTGAACAAGTCTCTGTATGGGTTGAAGCAAGCACCGCGCGCCTGGCATCGTCGCTTTGCCTCTCATATCACCTCTCTTGGTTTCACTGAAGCAAAGTTCGACACTTCCTTGTTTATATATTGCCGAGGCTCAGAGATGGCTTTCTTGCTACTATATGTTGACGATATTGTTCTGACGGCTTCCTCCATGGTTTTTCTTCAGCGGATCATTGCAGCTCTCCGCCAAGAATTCTCTATGACCGACATGGGGTCCTGCATCACTTCACAGGAGTCGGTGTTCGGCGCCACCAGACGGTCTGCTTTCTCTCAACACAAGATATGTTGGATATTCGAGCGTGCGGTGATGACTAATCGCAAGCCTTGCGGTACTCTGTTGATACTCATGCCAAGCTTTCACGCTGATGGTGTCACCGTCACGACCCCACTCACTATCACAAGATTATTCTTTGGAGCACTTGAGATCTCACCTTCACCCGTCCGGACATTGCTTATGCTGTTCAGCAGGTCTGCCTCTATATGCATGACCCTCGGGAGCCGCATCTTGGCGCTATGAAGCGCATTCTCCGCTACCTTCAGGGCACTTTGGATCTTGGTCTTCATCTTCACCGGACCTCACCAGCTGATCTCACGGTCTACACGGATGCTGATTGGGCGGGATGTCCTGACACGCGCAAATCCACATCTGGGTATGCGGTGTTTCTTGGGGACAATCTTATCTCCTGGTCGTCCAAACGTCAGCCAACGGTGTCCAGGTCCAGTGCTGAGGCGGAGTATCGGGCTGTGGCCAACGGTGTTGCTGAAGCCTGCTGGTTACGACAACTTCTGCAAGAGCTTCACCACCCTCTTCGCCGCGCCACTGTGGTATATTGTGACAATGTTAGTGCCGTCTACCTCTCCACCAACCCGGTCCAGCATCAGCGAACCAAGCATGTTGAGATTGATCTGCACTTCGTCAGAGAACGAGTCGCCCTCGGTGAAGTTCGTGTCCTGCATGTTCCCACTACGTCCCAGTACGCCGATGTCTTCACCAAAGGATTGCCGACATCCGTCTTCTCCGAGTTTAGGTCCAGTCTTAATGTTCGTGGTGCTCCCAGTTCAGACTGTGGGGGAGTGTTGGAATGTAATTGGGCTTGTGGGCCTGTCTACCGTGACTCCCCACCTAGCCTATATATGTACACTGACTATGCCTGAGTGATACATCGAGTATTCCACTCTTTCACTATCTTACAAGTTTTTTGGGCCATACAAGATTCTGGAACGGATTGGATCTGTGGCATATCGTTTGCAATTACCTGCTGACAGTGCTATACACCCTGTGTTTCACATTTCGCAGCTGAAGGCATTTCACCAGGATCACACACCTGTGTACTCTACTCTACCTGCTGTCACAGATCTGGAGGCAACAGCTGCTGTCCCAGAACGCATCCTGAAATGTCGCCTGGTTAAGAAAGGTAACAATACTGTTCCTCAGGTATTGCTCACATGGACAGGATTCCCAGCTTCGTCTGCCACTTGGGAAGACTACAATGTCGGTCAAGCAGAACCTTCGGCGGTACGCGGCTCAGAGGAGAAGACGTACTCCTATCATTTATGTAATAGCTAGAGTATGACTTGTGGGGTCATCTAGTCAGTCGGCCAAGTGCCTTATATTCTGAACTATTGTTGTAAGCAAGACATCGAATTTATTATTACTAAGACAGTAAAACGCGAGCGAGAGGTTCCTCTGCTCCGTTGGCCGAATCCGACGTGCCATCCCTGTCTCTCTCACGTCGCCGGCGATCACCGGCGGCCACGGGTCCTACACTCTCATTCCTGACTGGATACGCTTTGTTTGTCTTGGTGTGGTTCACCGTTTTTCTCAGACTCTCTGAGTTGTGGCTGTGCTTTGCTTCCTGTGTAAACAATTCTGAAAGTCGGGAGCCGTGTCTCGTGCTCCATGCGCGAATCATTTGGAATTGACCAGGTTAACCTTTGTTTCAGGCTTTCAGCTCTCTGACAAAAATTTGAAACTTCGTATAGTATGGTGGCTAGACAGATCTCTTTCAGTTTCGTCTTTTACACTGTTTCATTCAAATAATGCAGTTTCCAGCTTCCAAAAAGCGCGCCAATAGTAACGCATCGTTTTCGCTGTGTGTGGAAAGCTCTCGTCTCATTGGCGGGGCCTTTTGTTTTCTTTAGGCTGTGATCATGGCCATTGATTGTTTCATTCTTGAAGCTGGTGATCATGGCTAATCTGACCACACTCGCGAGAGATGCATCTACCGCCAGCCGACCATCGCATCTTTTATTTCCGTGCCAAAGGGAGATGGATCGATCGATCGATGCCTCTCTTTTCCATCATACCCTGATCATGCTGTGTGGTGTACTTTTGTTAATCTTATCCACCGGCTGATCGGACGTCCGAGGGACGTCGGGGGCGTGAGAGCTTCCGCGTGCGGAGCCGCCTCGTTCGGTCGCTCCGCATCCATCGCTGAATAGTATAATTCAGCTGCTCGCACTGCATTTTCCCAGTGCCCGACAGCAATCAGACACGCAGACGGCTTCAGAAGGAAGGCTGCCTGCGTCAGCTGCACCTCTCTCTGCTAAAGGGAACAAAAGCTCTTTCGGACGTGACGGACGGATGGAAATACTCTCTGCTTGCGGCATCGTCACAACAACTTTACTGCGGTTTATTATACTAATTAATCGTCTTTATAAAACGGCAACGGCAATCGACAACGGAGGAGCGAGTGTAGGTGTTGTCAATTGCCATTACTGCATCGCCATCAGATCGCACTGCGTATTTACCAACAGTTGAACACTTCAAGGCTCAAGGAGAAGCAGGTGAGCTGTGGTCGGCGGCTGACACAGACAGACTCATGCGCAGTTTTTTTTTTACCTGAAAGTCCTGAACCGATGAACGGCTTCTGGTTTGACCGGACAAGAACTCGGGGAGCACGCAAAGCTTCTTCAGTTTGTGCACGCCAAGAGTGTGTGCCCGTGCGTTCGTGCTAGAACCACGGCTGCTCCTGCCATTCAGCTGTTCTACATATATAACATAGAACAGTGGTCCAAATCCGTGCATGTTCATCGCCCACGAACGAAGAACAGTAGTTAGTAGCGGCGAAATGGCGGAGAAAGACTTCGCCGGCAGCGAGTGCGTTGAGGTGAACGGGCAGGACTTAGAGCGGTCTTGCCGTGATCATGATCCGGCCGCCGCTGCAGAAGGTGTGAGCAGAGGCCTAGCCATCGGGCTTTTCGTACGGGAGGTACACAGTTTTCCGTAGCTAATACTACAACGACAGTAATAATCTAGTTAACGACCATATAGAACTGAACCGTAAGATTAACTGGCGGGGCGTCATGTCGTGTCTAACAGCTCTCTCATTTTTTCCTTCTTTCGACTGTACGTGATGCATGGTTGGGTATATAGTTGATGGTGGAGGGCGTGGCGTCGTTCCTGCTGGTGTTCTGGTCGGCCGTGGCGGCGCTGATGCAGGAGATGCACGGCACGCTGACGTTCCCCATGGTGTGCCTCGTCGTCGCGCTCACCGTCGGCTTCGTGCTCTGCTGGCTCGGCCCCGCGCACTTCAACCCCGCCGTCACCCTCACCTTCACCGTCTTCGGCTACCTCTCGTGGGGCAAGGTACATTGGCAGGCCTTGTCCATCCACGCATCGCCGGAGATTCGCAGCCAACGTAAATAGTACGTACTCTGCATATATAATAGTGAGCTTTGCATCCATCTTGTTGTGCGCCCCCAGCTGCCGTTCTACGTGGTGGCGCAGATGGCCGGCTCGCTGCTCGCCTGCGTGTCGGTGAACGGCGTCATGGAGCCGCGGAGGAGCACTTCTACGGACGGCCCCGATGATGGCCGGCGGCCACACTAGGCTGCCGTTCCTGCTCGAGTTGGTCGCCTCCGCGGTGCTCATGATCGTCATCGCCACCGCTGCCAGAGGCTCCGTCTGTCCTTATTATCCCTTCTTTCAGTTAACTTGTTGTGTTCTTCGTGTGCTCATTATCTGAACGTTTGGTTGATGCTTGATGGCAAATTAATGCAGAATCAGACAGCAGGAGGGCTGGCCATCGGAGCTGCCGTCGGCACCCTGGGTCTCGTCATCGGGTAATTTTTTTTAAAAAAAAAAACTCTCAGTTTCTTCAGAGAGTGCAAGTGCCAGTGCCACTGCGACTGCCACTGTGTTGCATTGCTGAACGTACGAGTTGTGCTGTGCATCCGATCCATCCAGGCCGGTGTCCGGAGGGTCGATGAACCCGATCAGGACGCTGGGCCCGGCCATCGTACTCGGCAGGTACACCTCCGTCTGGATCTACCTCGTCGCGCCGGTCGTCGGGATGCTCATCGGCGCGCTGTGCAACCGGCTCGTTAGGGGCTCCGACGCCATCCTCGCCTTCCTCTGCGGCACCAAGCCGAGAGCGGTGGCGCCCAGAACCACGACGCGCGCCGTTGGAGCACTTGCGTCGCCGCAACTACTAGCCGGCTAGCCGCCGGCCCGGCCGCCGCCATCGTGGTGGTGGACTAGTGACAGGTGGCCCCCCTTGGTTGCTGTAACAGTCAATGAGTCAAACCAATCAACAATCCGGGCGGCACAAGTACACAACTGATAGTATGATACTCTCCGTTGTGCATTACCCAAAGTCACTTCTGTCCAAGACATCATCATTTGACTGAAACTGAAGAAAATTGGTAGTTTTTCGCTTCAACAATACGTGGCGTAATTTGGATTGTACCTGCACTATTCACAAGATGTCATAATTCATAAGAAATATCTCGTGAATAATATGCGACAAATCCAAAGCACACGTGGAACATGTAATGAAAATCATCAGAACAATCTAACATGCAACGTCCCAAAGTCAGCATCTGATGGATAGTATATGAGCAATCCAAAACACACCACGGAACAACAATATCCAAATTTCCAAAATACACTCACGCAACATACGGAGTATTATAAATTTCATAATGGATTGTAGTAGTATATACCATGTAAAAATAAAAAAAATACGGCAGTGCTAGCCCCCGGACATCCGGACGGACGTGCGCGTCCGAACGACCGCGCCTACTGCGCATCCACGCTAGCGCCTACTGCACGTACAGGCAAGGATCGCCCACGCCGCTCCCCCCGCACTTTCCGCTTCCTGCTACTACTGTGTCGCTCCCCTCCGGCCTCCAGACCTACGGTGCCGCTCCCCTACTTCCCCCGCGCACGCAGGGACCACCTACGCCCCTACCGCCATCCCCCTCTGCTTCTCACGCGCATGCACGACGCCCAGCAGCTGCAGCAAACGACTGTGGCAGGCGGGTCACATTACAACATGTGCAACATCAGATCTACTTTTGCAACATCCAGATGAAGCACTTGCAACATACATCTGAAACACTTGCAAAAACACGTGAAATACTTGAAAACATGTGCGTAGCCATTGTAAAACATATACAACATCCAGTTGAAACACTTACAACATACGCATGAAACATCTGAAACACTTAAAAAACACTTGCAACATGTATGTTATGCAACATCCAGATCTACTTCTGTAACATCCGGATCTGTCAATGTTTTACCACCGATAGCCTGTCACGGGGGTACCCGGGACAGTTGTTCCGGTTTCGGCGGGTGCGGAACTCAACGGTGAACGCAAGAGACGATCGATTTATACTGGTTCGGACCCTCGACTGTGATCGAGTAATGGCCTTTACGTCTAGTCGGCGTTAGCCTTTTGCGTTGGATTGATTGGTATATTGTGTTGTTCTTCCCTTTTAGGGGTGCCCATAGCCTCTCTTTATATAGGGAAAGACGGCTATGGTGCGATTACAGTTCTAGTCGGATTCCAAAGAAGGTGTCCTGATCTAATTACAGAAGGTACTTTCTATTAGGAAATCCGGCTAGTTCGGCCTATTCTACTCGGAATTGGCGTCACTTGTTGCCTCGCCTCTTCTGTCAGGTACGTTGGCCAGGCTAAGACCCACCGCTAGTACTCGTACCGATGAGGAACCCTGTGGATCCCGCATATATCCGGGTTCTTTTGAATAGAAAGAACTCGGACAGAGGGTCCTTTTGTTGTATCCTCAGGTAGTCTGTCTGTCAAAGGTAGGTGGTAGGTGGCCGTTGTGCGGTAAATGAAGCTCAGTCACGGGCTGCAGAGTGTTGGAATATTCGTCTAGATATATTGTCCTTGTGCACTGTGCCTTCACATGCGTTCACTTTGCCTTTATGACTTGCTATCACTGTTCTGCTCCTTTTCCTATTGATTGTCAGGTTGAATCTATTGTTTGAACTTGGTCCATGTGCACCGCTTCTAGGTCTATAAATACCCTCCTGGTGAGCTGTTGCAAATCAGTGAAGTCCTGGCATTGAGCTTGAAGTCTATAGCCATGAATACGTTGGTTTGTGAAGTAGAGCAGCCCCCGGGCGTGAGTTGGAATCTTGTACTGCTTGTAGTAGATGGAAGAAGTCTTGTGATAGAGGTTAGAGGTAGACTAATCTCTCAGCGGTATTGCGCTGGGTAGTCCATTCTAGCAGATGGAAGAAGTCTTATGATGTGGGATACGTTCTCTCATCTAGCAGTTCCAGATTGATCCTTCCACTCTGCCTCGCGATTGTCAGGTGCAGATCAGCACATGATCCAGCATCACATCGGACATAGGTAGACTGATGCCTGTGAGCCTCCCCTGATCCATGTTGTCATGTTGTGCCGTTGACACCAATCTTGGATGCACTGCGCTCTTTCTTTGAAGAAAACAGTGTAGCCATGTAGAGTGTGTTCTGCCGAGTAGCAACTAGGAGCACGTAGTCGTTTCTAGAGCCGAATTCTACTGGGTTCCTTGTTGCTATCTTTGTTCATCGTAGTTTCGAATTCGATGGGTCTTGTAAAGTCTGTAATCCTGTTTCCCTTGAAGATATTTGTAATTGGAAAAATCTTGTTGCTTGGAGTCGCTGTCTTCTGCATCCACCCGAGTACTTCTGAATGATTTCTGGGTTGTTTCTGAAGCTTCTTTGCCTGTATTGTAATTGCTGAGTTTTTTCTGAGCGTTCCGGGTTGAAACTACTTAGCAACAATTTATGTGGATAAATAAGTCTGAAATCTGCCCGTTGCACTATTCCGTTGTGAAAAGGCATGCCATCTGTAGCTTCGGTCACATCCTACATTCAATGCGCAAAAGGTGGAAACGATCTGTTGGCTTAATGGGCCATTTGGGCCATGTTTTTACTGTTATAAAAACAATTTCTTTCCCTTCTTCTCCTCTTCACTTGCTCTTTGCCTTCCGCCATCGGTCTCCCAAACCCTAATCCCCTCTCAGAGCTCGACCACCGACGTCGACGCCATTCGAGTGCTGCCACTGCTCACGCGCTGTCGCCATCTTGTTTTGTGAGAGGAGAGCATCATCTAGTGTATGGGCAAGAAGAGAGGTTCGTCCAGCAAGTCAAAGGCCATCTTAGTGGATGAGGAGGAGGTGCTCCAGGTGATTGAGGACCAAGAATTCGTCGCCATGAGGGCCATGGAGAAGGTCTGGCCCGCTCCGAGCACCACGGAGGATCAACTGAGGGAGTTGGTCAGCGACGGCTTGATCCAGGATCAGGGTTTTGCTGAGTGGAAGACTCCTGGCGAGCACCGGGTTCCTTCCCTCAGTCCTGGTGAGATCGTTCTCTTCGTATCCTTCATTCGCGCTGGAATCTGCCTCCCAGCGTCTCCTTTTCTCCACCGATTCCTTCGATATTTTGATATTTCTTTAAACCATCTGACCCCGAACGCAATTCTTCATCTTTCTGTGTTCGTTCATTTTTGTGAAACCTTTCTTGGAATCCTCCCTTCTATCTCCTTATTCCGCTACCTCTTCCATTTGAAACAACACCCCTGGAGTGATAATACTTCTGTCCTGGGTGGTTGTGGTATCCAATTTCACCAAAGTAAGTAGAAAGAGTTCTTTGAGTACAATCTGGTTGACTCGGTTAAGGACTGGCAATCCGAGTGGTTTTATGCTGGGAACATGGCCCCTCCCCTCGCAGTGCATTTGGATGCCGGTCCAGTTGTGAATGACCGCTGGAAGAAGCAGCCTCTGTCGCCAGAAGACCTCAAGAAGATTAAGCCTTTCCTTGAGCGGATCAAGGTCTTGAAGCAGCAGGGCTTGACTGGCTTTGGTATCATGGCCAGTTTCCTCCGTTGCCGAGTGTAGCCTCTAAAGGCGAGGGAGAGGTATGGCTTTGAGTATGCCAGAGCGGAGGACCCATCCCGGATGGTTCCTACACAGGAGCTGATGGAGGAGGAGGTCTTGGGATGCCTCTGCAAAATCTTGAAGGATGCAAGTGTTGCTCCTCTCCAAGTCTCGGAGTACACCACCACGAATCCGCCACCTTTTGTAAGTTGTTTTTGTTATTTCTTCGTGAGTAGTTTCCTTCTTTGTTTCTTCTGCTCAATCTTGCTGTTTGGTTATCTGCTCAATTAGATGGCAGTGCGGTGGAGATCCTCGAGGGCGAGGATGAGGACGATAGTGTGACCCTTGTTACTTGTTAGTGAGTAGTTAGAGTGCCTATCCTTTATTATCTTGCATTGTCCCGAGTTCTTTTGATGACTCATCTTCTTTTTGTCTTTGGCTGTAAGCGGGGGTCGAGTTAGAGTTCTGATGGAACTCAAGTGCCAGTCTTGGCTGGTACTGATATTTTTTAGCCCCCACGTCCCCGCCCAGGTCTTCTGGTTGGCTTGTGAAGGAACTTGTGACGCCTAAGAGTGGGGGGGTGAATTAGGCAACTTAAAATCTATTCTCTATGAACTATGGCCTCTAATTTCACCTTAGCAAAACCTATGCAAGAAAGTGATCTATCTAAATGTGCAACTACGGTTTTGCTAATGTGTTGCTATCTCTACCGCAAAAGAGTTATGTAACCTAGGTTCCAATCCTATCAACTAAGCTAGGAAAGTAAAGCACACAACCTAGGTAACAATGTACATGGGGAAGCTAAAGATGAGGTAGAGATGCAAACTCCCGTCGACGACTCCGGTATTTTTACCGAGGTATCGAGAAGCGCTCGAGCTTCGCCTAGTCCTCGTTGGAGATCCTCGCAAGGGCCAAGCTCCCGGTCAGATAACTCTATGGATAGCCCCGGGCCTTCCCCACATGCAAGTGGGTCTCTGGTGTGCCTTCGGCAAGGCTCTCCTGGACCGCTCCCCGCCGTCTTCACTATCAAGTTTCCGGCCAAACCGCCGCGGGCCTTGTTCTCTTCGGTACACGGTGGTGGCCACACCACAAACGTGGTGTGTGTGATCTCGCAAGACTACAAGCCCATCCGATGTACAACAACGATGCGTGCAAGCACCGAGTGATAACAGATATGCAAACCTCACTAAACACTAGGCCTAAACCTAGAGCAAGCGCATAAGCGGTGGTCTAATCAACCTAAGCACTTCGCAAAGCACTTACGCTAATCACCTAATGAATAACTAAGCACTATGCATGTGGAGATCACTAAAATTGTGTAGGAACA